GTCTTGCTTCTTGAGGATTTCTCGGTTCTTCTCCAGAATTGTCCGTCTTTTCTGTTCTTTGGCCTTCATCATTTCAACATAACGCTCCTCAATTTCTTTCTCTCTTTCCCGTTTCGCTAGCTCTTTCTCTGCGCGGTGTTTGTCCACTCTCGCTTTAGCAATTTTTATTTCTTCCGTGTGTTTTTTGGCAACACTTCGGTAGTTTTTGTCGATAATGTCTTGCCGCGTTGGGACTACCGTGTCCTTGCCCGTTCTTTCCCAATAGCCCCTCGAGGAGAAGTGGGTTCCATTGTTTCCTGCCATTCTAAAACGATGAGGAAATCTTAAGAATTTAACAAAACACAATGAAACCAAATTCACAGAAGAGAGTGTCAATAGCAGGTGTTTGTCCAACGATGGTCCGGATCGGAATGATCTGAGCTATGGTAAGTGATGACATCACTCTTAGATCTGTTCTAAGCCCCGCCCATGGGAGGGCATTTCTGGCCCCGCCCATATAAAAGATTCTCTTTTTCTTTTTCCCTTTGATGGAACACTGACTGTTTTTGCCTTTTTTTTCACTAAAAGGACATATGGACAAAAAAAACAAAAACAAACATTGTTTGATATTGACGACTGCATAAGTTAATGTTTAAATTAGGTATTTGTTAACAGAAAAAAATGGAAAAGTTAAGTTTAATGTTATTAATTTTCTATTTTTTTTTTTTTTTTTTTATTAACTGTGTATCATTTATTTGCTCATCAGGAGATCATACATATATTGATGTTACATTGTACAAAGCTTACATGACTTCTCCAATTTTTTGTTTTCTTTTTTACACAGTTTTTTTTTTTTCCCCTCCCCCCCCCCTTCCCTCTTCCTTCCCTCCTTCTCCTCCCCCCATATTCCCTCTTCCCTTCCCTCCTTCTCCTCCCCCCACATTCCCTCTTCCTTCCCTCCTTCTCCTCCCCCCACATTCCCTCTTCCCTTCCCTTTCCCCATAGCGAACTTAAATCCCTGTATAAACATAACAAAAACAGGACCAAATAAGTATAATTACATTAAAAAAGAAAAGAAAAAAGGGGATACATTAATACGGAGCCCCTCTGATGACATGGTCAAAAAAAAATTTAATTGTGGCCACGAAGTAGTATTTCGTGGCCACGCAATAAGTATAACGTGTGCACGAAATACTACTTCGTGGCCACGCAATAAGTTTAACGTGCGCACGAAATACTATTTCGTGGCCACGCAATAAGTTTAACGTGCGCACCAAATACTTATTAATAATATTATCATTCCTGGACAACTGGGTAAGCAAATCGAGCGCGCCTTCTCTAAGGTCTAAGGCGCGCTCGATTTGCTTACCCAGTTGGTCTCCGCCAGTCACGTGACATTTGTTGCTGAGACGCCATTTGAGGTGGAAAAGGCGTAGGGTAAACAACCGCAGCATAGCTAAACGAAGGACTAAAGGCCCTTTTACATACAGTAACAGCCTGTCCAAGATAAGTCATTACAGTTAACATAAGCCTGAAAACAGGGGCGGATTTATTGATATTAATAAGTATTTCGTGCAAACGTTAAACTTATTGCGTGGCCACGAAGTAGTATTTCGTGCGCACGTTATACTTATTGCGTGGCCGCGAAGTAGTATTTCGTGCGCACGTTATACTTATTGCGTGGCCGCGAAATACTACTTTGTGGCCACAATAAAAAATTTTTTTTGTCCATGTCATCAGAGGGGCTCCGTACATTAACAACCAAAAAATGAAAATAATAATGATGGGATGGAGCAGGGGTTGGACGGCATTGAGAAGCTAAAAGGCTACAACTCTTCACTCAATTAATGTGTAAATTTAAGTCACATGACATGAAGGGTCAATCATATCTATCTATACATTATAAAGGCAGAGATTTTATGTATGTCATAAGAGGTGCCCACTTGTGAGTAAATTTTGCTGAATTACCTTTTACTGTTAATAGAATCTTTTCCATCTTTAAGCATGATCTAACAGTATTAAGCCACTGAGAATTAGATGGAGGTATAGGAGACTTCCAACAGAGTAAAATGCATCGCCTGGCAAGGAGAGAACAAAAAGCCAAGACCTCCCCCTGCAGGGGCGACAGATTAATTGAGGTCCCTGGAACTCCAAAAATGGCAATTAGTGGGTCGCTTCGGATCTGGATTCCAAAAACCCCTGAGAGAGTGGAAAAGACATAGTCCCAAAATTTTTGTAAACTTGGGCAAAAGAAAAACATATGACTTAAGTTGCAGGGAGAGGTCCGGCACCGGTCACACTGGTCCAAAATCGAAGGAAAAATTTTAGAAAGATGGGATTTTGAAAAGTGGACTCTGTTTATCACTTTAAACTGTACAAGCTGTAACCTGGCACATGGTGTGCTTTGGCGTATACTGAGAGTAACTTTATCCCACCATGAATCGGACAGTTCAACACCCAATTCACGTTCCCAAAGAGTTCTGGATTTACCCGATGAGTCGGGGTCTAATTTTCTATTTTTAATGGAAATTAATGTAATTTGTTATTTCTACCAATTAAATTTTTGCCTTTTGGTATATAACATTTATTTAAGTTAATTTAGAACCAAAATGTGTTATTTATTTTTTACATTTGGAATTGTTTGGAGTAAGTTCTTAATTGTTAGATCCTCCCATTACTTTGAGTGATTTTTAAATTTTTTTTATTGTATTTTTTATTTTTTTTAACAGTGTCCTGTCTGGCAATGTGGCAATAAGAATAATTGTCTTGATGCCAAAAGGAGCCCAACAGATTTTACTTTCACAAGTGGAGCAGTATGGCAGAAATGCCAATCCCCCCCCACAAAAAAAAAAACACGGCAAGCAGAAAAGCCCCCACAATGCGACAGTGGACACCAGACACCGACCCGCCCGCAACCGCTCCCCCCACCGTAAAAAAATTTAATAAAACAATTTATTAATTAATTAATTAATTAATAAAATTCAAATAAATAAAAATTCCACTATGCAAGAGGAGAAATGCGAGCGGAAAAACCAGAGCCCAAAACAAGACCCAAGACCTGCACCTCACCATGCCGTGCAGCTCCCCTCCCCCCCGAACCGATACCACAGAACCGGCATCGAAGCGAAGGCACCGGCACCGAAAATCCCCGGACAACACCCAGCCCCACCCCGAAGTGAGTCCAGTCCCGGGCCCCAAGGATCCAAGGCCCCAGGGGACGCCCGACCCCAGACAGGAGCCTTAGCAAAGCCCCGGCCGGCCGGGGCCAGCGGAGAGGCCACCAGGAAATGAGCCAGCAGCCCCCCGGGCATCCACCCCCAGACCCCGAGCTCCACCAGTGCACCGGTGAGCCACGACGCCAGCCAGCGGAGGGAGAGCAGGACGGGGGGAATGGGCTCCGCACTTAGCAGAGACTTGAGATGTATTTGGAAGAGGGGGCAGTTGAGACCCCAACCTGGGAGAGAGAAAAAAAAATTAAATAAATAAATAATAAAAAATAAATAAATAAAATAACAACGCGGACACACATTCACACATAACACTAACATCCAATAATACCAGGACCAAAGACCCGGCGGCACCGGTGGTTGGTCCCGGGGCTATCGGATGACCCAATAAGTGAACCTAAAATCTGGATGGGGGGGAGGGGAACGGCGACACCGCCACACCAACCCATCTCATTCCTGCTTTGAGCCCGGCCCCCCACCCCACACATGGACCGTAAAGCAATATTTATGGGTATTTAGCGTGTTTTAAGAAAAAAAAACCTGTAAATGACGTACTTCACAAACAAAAGGCGCACGCATAACAGCTCATTTTACAAAAGAAAAATAAATGGGAGGGAACTGCAGCTTATCTGGCATCCGAAGAGGAAGACATTTTTTGTAAAACTACCTTAAAACGTAAAAAAGGCCGTGCTGAAATGAAGTGGACATCACAGCAGAGAAAAAAAGATGCACTTCAGGCCAATGAACTAAATCTTAAACACTTTGTAAACACAAGCCCATCATCCCCTCCACACTTTTCCCTTGACTTTTTTCTTCCCCTCCAAATCTTAACCCCCCCTTGTGGTCATCCTGGCACATAACCCCATTATCACGCATCACATTTAGCTGAAGCTAAATACACCACGCGTGGAACTGAAACAATGCCAAACAAAGTTCATTTATACAGATAACGTCAACATTCCACGATAATGTCTGGTGACCAATCTATATCCTGTTGGTGTTGATGAACGAGCCCAGGCAAGACCCCACTTTGTAGTCATTAGACAGCATGGGATTAATTTCCACTGTTATGCTGATGATACCCAGCTATATCTGTCTATAATCCAGATGAAGCTAACCCATTACATAGATTACAGGCATGTCTGAAGACATAAAAACCTGGATGACTCTTAACTTTCTGCTTCTGAATGCAGACAAAACAGAAGTTATAGTCTTTGGACCAGAGTCTCTGAAAAAGAAGCTGATTAGTCAGTCACTTCATTTGGATGGGATTAAACTGATTTCAGATAATAAAGTAAAAAAATCTTGGTGTTATTTTTGATCAGGACCTGTCATGTAAATCCCAGATCAAAGAGGTTTCTAGAATTTCCTTCTTTCATCTGAGGAATATTGCAAAAATGAGCAATCCCCTGTCCAGGGGTGATGCTGAGAAACTAGTCCATGCATCTGTTACTTCAAGGCTGGACTATTGTAATTCTTTACTATCAGGAAGTCCACAAACTGTAGTTAAAAGCCTTCAGCTGATCCAAAATGCTGCAGCCAGAGTTCTGATGAAAATGAAAAAGAGAGATCATATCTCTCCTATCCTGGCTTCTCTTCATTGGCTTCCTGTTAAATCCAGAATAGAATTTAAAATCCTCCTTCTCACATATAAAGCCTTAAATGGCCAAGCTCCATCTGATATCAGAGATCTGATTGTTCCTTATGTTCCTAACAGAGCACTTCGCTCTCAATCTGCAGGTTTACTAGTGGTTCCTAGAATTTCTAAAAGTAGAATGGGAGGCAGATCTTTTAGTTATCAGGCTGAGAGTTGAGGGTCCGGGCAGAAGTCAGGGAGAGGACGCCCTGCCTGGATCTCTGATGAGGAGGTGAAGGATCCGGGTAGCTGACGGGCCGAGAGCCGGGGGCCTGTGGACGCGGACGGACGGTTGATGGAGGATCGGATGTAAGGAGAGGGGAAGGGTGGATGGGAGTTCCACTACGGGAGCCCGGATGCTCGCTCCCTCCCTGGATGCTTGGGAGTGGATGTAGAGCTGGTGGGATGGAGCGGGGTCGGTCTGTGGCGAGGTAAGCTCCTGCTCACCGCGCCTTGTTCATCCGTCAGAGGAAAAATCTCCCAGGAACACAGCTGGATTATTATTATTATGTGAAAAAGGATTATCTAAAGGATGAGGTCGTCTCTCTCTTCAGATATCAGACTGTGATGCTATCTGAAAATAAAAAGTTTGGTAAAGATTTGTTTTTCCACCTGTTTTCATGTTCTTTCTTATTAAAAGCTTTACCCAAATCAGGGTCTGACAGCCGAAAATCGTCCAGATCGGAATCTACAAATAGATGGAAGAATAAAGTAGAGCTTTTAAAATGTGAGGAAAGAAGCAGATCTTGAGGAAAGTTTGGATTTAAATGTAATATTGTAATATTGCTTACTTCGCCTCATGGTTGAGAGGCGTCTGAAACGGGTTGAAAAATGGCGTCCCTTGGACCTGCGGCCTTTTGTAGGACCAGCAGCAGATACCCTATAGAATCGTCCGATCAGCCCTTTAAGCAGGGCAGCTTGGTGTAATAGGAGATTCTCACATCTCAGCATAATAAGAACCAAGTTCAGACCGTGTCTGTCAGACGCTCATCTCTCCGCCATGATGCACGTTCACCTGTCAAGGCAGACCAAAGACACGTTTGACCCAAAGCAGGCTGTTGACCTGTGGATGGACACAGCTAATGGGAGGCTAAACCGAGGACAGGGAAGAGCATCTGCAGGATCATTTCCCACGCAGGAGTCTGAAGCAGAGGACAGTGGGACAGAAAGTGAGGAGGACTGAGCTTAATGAGACCAGGCTCCCTATGGGGTGAGGACCAAACCCCATCTCCTGGTACAGCCCTGCACGGAACGTTACCCTGGCCATAGGAGCACTGTCGACGCACAGCGCCCCCTTCTGAACAGGTTTAATCAGAAGGAAGGCTGAGTCCGTTATTCTGAGCACCATTGTCACCATCTGGTGGTCAAAGGTGGGAAGAGCTGATTTAAAGGAGACCTGCAGAGGCTTCACTAAAACTCTGCCAACGGCGACTTTAACGTCATAAGGGCTGGTTATCCTCCCGCGGCAGTGTGTCACAGTTAGCCTGTGGCAGGTATGATGCAGAGATTTTTGATTTATGCCCGATATTGACTGCGCTGTTATTCCACGCCAAAACACCAGAGGGCCAATCAAGAACTAGCTAGCATTGTGGGTGTCCGTGTGTCGGTTTGACGAGCTTGTTCGCCGTCTACAACCCCTCATCCAACGCCGGACGACACACAGTTCACCTGTGAGTGTTTCCCAAAGACTGGCCGTGGCGCTGCGCGTTTTGGCTTCGGGTGCAAACCAGCAGACCGTCGCACAGAGCTAGCGTCCTGTGCGGTGTCTGGGATAGAGCCCGAGGTGAGCCAGGCGCTGTGGGCGGAGCTAGCGTCCTGCACGGTGTCTGGGATAGAGCCCGAGGTGAGCCAGGCACTGTGGGCGGAGCTAGCGTCCTGCGCGGTGTCTGGGATAGAGCCCGAGGTGAGACAGGCGCTGTGGGCGGAGCTAGCGTCCTGCGCGGTGTCTGCGATAGAGCCCGAGGTGAGCCAGGCGCTGTGGGCGGAGCTAGCGTCTTGCGCAGTGTCTGGGATAGAGCCCGAGGTGAGCCAGGCGCTGTGGGCGGAGCTAGCGTCCTGCACGGTGTCTGGGATAGAGCCCGATGTGAGCCAGGCGCTGTTTCATACGATGAATGGGGGGGGGGGGGGAGCGTGTAACACTAGATGGTTCTCTACCACGTGACCACGGCGGTTAAATGAGAGTGAAACTACCTCGAAGCAGAAAGATAAGGAAAGCAGGAAAGGAAGGAAAGCAGGAAAGGAAGGAAGGCAGGAAAGGAAGGAAAGCAGGAAAGGAAGGGAAGCAGGAAAGGAAGGAATGGAAGGAAAGCAGGAAAGGAAGGAAAGGAGGAAAGGAAGGAAAGCAGGAAAGGAAGGAAAGGAAGGAAAGCAGGACAGGAAGGAAAGGAAGGAAAGCAGGAAAGGAAGGAAAGCAGGAAATGAAGGAAAGAAGGAAAGGAAGAAAAGGAAGGAAAGCAGGACAGGAAGGAAAGCGGGAAAGGAAGGAAAGCAGGAAAGGAAGGAAAGGAAGGAAGGAATCCCACTGTCAGCTTCCATCAGAGCAGAGTTCTTCTAACCAGCACAGGTCAAACATCAGCATCAGGTCCAGGTTCCTTCCTTTCTGCCCGTCTCTCCCGAGCGCAGCGCCTCATTAAAGCATCAAATAGAGCAGTGGATGGTTTTACTTTGAGACGACTTCCAGTCCGGGAAGGGAGCGGGTAAAACGAGCGGATCCGTTTTCCCCGGGTTCCGTTCTCTGAAGCGTTTTAGATCAGTGTGACGCTACAGCAGAGGAACTTTCAGATGGAGGAAGGTTGACTTACAGCTATCAAAGCAGAAGCGTCCCTCTGCTGATAAGCCGTGATTTCTGTAGCCAGGGAAAATCCACACAGCGTTCAGCTCCAGATCTCCCCGTCTCACCCGCTTCAGCGGGCGCCATGCACGATGGGACACTGCGATCCGTGACTTTAGACGCAGGAAAACCAAAGCTACTTCCAGCTAGCTTTCTCGCGCCCTGGTTTTAAACCCTGAATGACGTAGGGGTACTTCCAGCATGGGCGTAGGTTAGCATAGGGACCATATGTTGATCACTTCCTTTCAGCAAAGTGCTTGGAAAACTTGATTCTCTCTTCTGGAGAGGGACAGCACTGGACTGATTTAAATCCTACCTGGAGGAAAGGGCCTTTTTGTGTAAGTAGGTAACCTTCCCTCAGAGGACACAAAAAATAACATGTAGCGTTCCCCAAGGGTCAACCTTAGGGCCCCTCCTATTCAATACCTATATGCTCCCTCTAACTCAGATTATGATAAACAACAGCATAAGTTACCAGAACTATGCAGATGACACAGCTATACATAACGCCACCAGGCGAATATAAACCCATTTAAACTAATTGATACATCAACACATAATTAATGCATCAACACATATATTGCCCAAACTTTTTTTTTTTTTTTTTTTTCCAGCTCAATCAAGTCAAAATTGTAGTTTTAGTTTTTGGACCAAAAGAAAAGCTAATAGAGCTAAAAATAACAAACCAGCCAATTGCATTGACTTGTTGACTCGAAAGCAATCACTCACACCAAACATGCTTGTAGCGACAGTGGAGAGGAAAAACTCCCTTTGAACAGGAAGAAACCTCCAGCAGAACCAGACTCAGTGTGAGCGGCCATCTGCTGAGGCCGACTGGGGTTCAAGGAGACAGAAGCAGAGATACAAAAAGCAGCTGTAAAAGGTGGCCCCGTCCAGGAAACACACAGCCAGGCAGACGAGCTCCGAGCCAGCTCCCATGTCAGAGGATGAAGAGAGCACATCCAGTTAGTCACAGTCAGAGAAACAGGACTACACTGGAAATCAGGCCAAGCTCCAACATCTAGAAACAAAGGTGTTGATGGCAGCAGCACAGCTGATATTTCTCTCCAGGATGGAGTCACAGCCAAACAGCAACAGACCAGATGAAGCTACTATGATGAGAAAAATCAGAGAGAGCCTTAACATAACTTTACAGATTGAATTAAAAAATGCTGCAGAATGGGAGAATAGAGATCGAATGATGAAAAGGGATCCGTATGTCCTCCAGCAGTCTAAGCCTATAGCAGCACAGATGCAGAAAATAGCTCAGGATAACCTGAGTATTTTGGATAAGGTATAAGAAAGGTAGAGCCACAGTGGGGTTAAGGTAGTTTAATAACTAATGTCTCAGGATCTTGGAAAACTAGTTACTGAGCTCATCTTTAGTAGAACTGAATAAGGAGTCCTGCTGTTAGTCTATAAATCACTGAATGGATCATCAACAAAATACATTACAGACTTGTTATCAGTGTATCAACCGCCCAGACCTCTCAGGTCTTCTGGCTTTAAGTCTACTTTTCAACCCGAAAGAAGAACCAAACAAAGAGAAGCATCTTTTAGTTCTTATGCTCCACCAATCTGAAACAAACTCCCAGAGAAATTTGAAAGTGTTTAAAACCTATATTACTTTTAATTAAAATTAAAATGCATTTTGTCTGTTCCAGCTAGAGAGGCCAAATTGAGCTCCTCTCAGTGTGAAAAGCGCGTTTTGGCCTCGACTTCTGATTTGAATTTTGGAACCAAAAATATCTGCTCAAATCTACTTTATATCACTTTTCTCAATATTAGTTCAAGTTTGTACCATTTATTTTATTATTAATCATTTCATTAATATTTTTTACTATCTTGTCATATACTTCTTCTTTGTTGTTATACTATTATAGACATCACTTTGATTTGTTTTAGTACTGAAATAATTCACTTAGTTTGCCTTTAGATGTTTGGTTTCTTATTTTTTCCTCTCACATTTACACTTATGTGAAATACTTTTTAAATGCACCGACATACATGACAAGAATTGTCTTTGGCCTGAAACTGAGCTTTAAAATATTACCCTATTATTCTTTCTTTTTTTACAACTCATATGACAGTCAAGAAAGCAAAGAATATGACTCAGATAAATATCTAAAGTGTCTTTGATATGTACAGGAGACTTATTGATTTCCTCTTTGTTGCTCACTTGCCTCTTGGCATGTGTTTGTCTTCTCTTTTCCCTCTTCAGGGAAGATTCTTCCACTACTTCCAACCCCAGGTTTTAAATATCTCATTACCCTGACATGAAAAAGGCTGACATAGAACTGAAAAAAAAGCAGAATCTTTTGACTGGCTGGAACGTGCTTTTGTTTGCATGAATAAAGATTTTTCCTTTAGCTTCCAAAAGAAATGTATTAGTAATGACAAATACAGTTCATAATGAATGAAAGCACATTCCTTGACATCTAACAAAGCTGTTTGGAGTCGGACCGTCTCGGTACACCAGAGCTTCTAATGGAACAGAGTTCATTTTGATTTGAGTTTCTTTGAGACTTTTACTTGTGTCATGTTCAGAATCCATCCATCCATCTTAATCCATCAGGGTCGCAGTGGGATTGGTGCCTATCTCCAGCAGTCTATAGCAAAAAGGCTGGGTTACCCTGGACAGGCCATTAGTTTATCACAGGGCAACTCAGAGACACTCAACCATGCACACACACACATAAGGACAAAGGACAATTAGAGATGCCATTTTTTGGACTTAGAGAGGAAGCTGGAGAACGCAGAGAGAATCTTTGCATGCACAGGAGAACATGCAAACTCCTTACAGACAATTCAACCAAGGACCCTTTGTTGCAAGGCTATAAACTGCACCATGCAACATTTTCTAATGAACTATTTAGACATATCTTTAATTGTGTTTTCACAGAAAAGGACAGGACAATTCAGAAAGCCTGCTCCATCTAAGCAAACACATTTAGCTCAGGTCACCACAGCTCACATACAATGAAGGAGACTGAGACACTCATGAAAAAGTTTTCCAATAACCTTTGAAACTAAGAAATTAATTGAAAAAATAGTAGATGTTTCAGTTTATCCAGAGTAAATAAAATGGGATCACAAGGGGGCGACAAAGACTACCTAAACGTTTTAGACCTTTTAAGACGTAGAAATCCCAAATTATTGGAA